CAAACTCTAAGGACAAACGAAGGTCTCCCAGCCAGAGTCCCTCGCCGCACGAGGCATCCACGCTCCGCCGCCCACATTACTATTTATAACACAATAGATACCACTGTGCTCAACAAACCGGGGAGTGAATGTGTCCATCACGGTCGGGAGGTAAGCGGTGTCACAGACGGCAGCACACACGCTGCTGGGAGGTTGTCGTGCCCCAGCCAGAGCAGACGTCAGCAGGGTCGTAACACCCCTACCCTACAAAGCAGACGTGAAGCAGAGAGAAAGGGGCGCGAGTTAAGGGTGTGACATCACATTGGCCCTTAGGCCCTCCACACACCTGCACCCAGAAAACCGTTACTTTGGGGAAAAGAGAAATTTTATTTCTCACTACAATGAAAATTTTGTGCCAGAGACCATATTCAAATTTCTCTGTAAGCTGACAGAAAGGTTAAGTTTTTAAAACAAACGAAAAAAGGTTCGTCAAATTGAACAAATTTTGTTTGAGCACAGGAAAACGTTTCTTCGCTTTAACGAAAATTTCGTTAAAGTCATGTCTTGATTTGGAATCTTCCAGAAGGCGTCATTCGCTGTGACGCACATACCGAATTCAGACTATGCAAGCTCTCATAGCGCCTGATGCGTAGGCAACAGCTCGCCTGCAGTTCATGCGTGTACAGCGGGTTGGCCTATCCCGAGTCTCGCAGGCGCTAAGCTCCCATTGCCAAGAGAATCTGAGGAAAAAACTGAGACTACCTCTTTGAACAATCCCTTTCGTTTTCACAAAAATAACCGTTTCCCGAGTATGTGGTGTCAGGGTACCACAGTGTGTGGCGTCGGGCGAGAGCGCACACATCATTTAATGCGCGATGTAATTTTATTGCATGGTTCTTGCGTCATGACTCCAACCCCCAGCCCAGCACCCCATGAAAACGAAGGGACGGTCGCGCGCGCACACACACACATGGGGCGTGGCAGGAATAGAAGGGCGGGGCAGTGACCCCCCGTGGGGCCTCCCGTCGGGCCTCCCGCCGGGCCAGACCAGCGGCAGCTCCGACCTGGCCTACATGACCTGTCTTTAGTGATTGGCGCGGCGCCGGCTGCCCCCCTCGGGGAGGTCCCGGAGCCGCTAGGGGGGCTGTCAGGAGGGCGAGAGAGACGTCTCGAGCAGAACACAGAGCATTACCACACCATCACCCCGTCGGTGCCACAAGGTGAGGCGGCGCGCGTGAGCCCCCCAAAACTCTGCGGGGACTTTGGCGTGCCGACCCCGTCGCCTTTGCTCGAGGCCCAAGCCCGCGACCCCGCCCCGCCTGATGGGGTGGTTATGCGGCCCAGCAGCTGGACCCCGCGTATGAATAAACATATCCGGAGGTGATGGGGCCTGGCCTCCCGCTAGGCCACCTCCACGAGCTTCTTCCTCGCCCCCCGTCCCCGCGGCCCTAATCCACGCCACGCAGCCCCAGCGGATTGGAGGGTCCACCCGCCCCAGCCACGCCCTGCCGCGCTGCCTCGCTCACCTTGGGGACAGCGGGCAAGGCGCCCGCAAATACATCCAGCCCGCCCAGGCACCCTGCTCGCCCCCCGCGGCTGGGACAAGGGGGGCGGGAGGGGGAGAGGGGGATGATGGGACGGAAAGAGCGAGGATACGGAAGCGAGCAGCGAGGGGGATACGCCCCGAGGCGAGACGTTGGGCCTCCAATGCGTCGCCCTATATATCTATCCTTCTGCCACCCCCC